CACTACATCAGGATCATCAAGCTAGGTGCTCGCCTTTCAGCTTTTTCATGCTACTCCCCCTTGCTATTTACAACACTGTAGCTTCTAGTTCGTAACCTGCAGGTGCTGCACGCAGGGTCCGTTTCGAAACCTGTGGTGTACGTTTTACCCGTCAACTGACAAGACAAGTGCAGACAGGCTCGAACCACGCGAGACGACAAAGAGGCACGCTGTTGGCTTTGGGACTCCTGGGGTGGGGCAATTGACAGTCCAGTATGTACAGTCGCCAGCATACAAACTATCTCCCAAAAGCTGCGCAATGCGGAATTTGCCTGTTTCTTTGCAGCACATGCAAAACGCCACAGCTATTTGGACGGCAGGGGATTGATAGGCCACAGATTGCATCGAGCTTCTCAGGTTTTGCGCTGTTGCTTTGGGGCAATCCACACAGGATCCTATTTGGGAAAGATGGCTTATGGGCTCGTGGGATGGAGCAGGTCAATGCAATCCCACACGTCCCCCCATGCGACATGGAAGATCCTCCAAGCTCTCCAAGTGTTCAAACTTTTATGGCCGAGCTTCGTTACCATCGGGGAGGCGAGGGGATGTAATGGCTGCTGGCAATGTCGAAAGATGACGCTTAAGGTCCACCAACCCTAAACCCTAAACCCTAACAAATTCCGCAGGTCAGGATCATCTCACTCATTTGCGATATTTTTGCAGTGCAGGTTCGTTCTGGATGCTTGGGCAAGGTGACGCCTAAAGTCCATCAACACCAATGCATTCATTTCGCCCTGTTCCCGCTGCCAGGTTCAAAGCGGAGATCCAAAACGACAAGCCGTCCCTGGGCTGTAATCTAGGTCTGCGGTCTTCCAAGAAGAGGTGTATAGTCCCCCTTAAGTAAGTAGAATATGGCCTTGAGTACTACTAGAATTTAATCGCTAACGCAAGACCGCCTCCGCATGAGGGCCTTCCAATGTCTTCCAGCATTCTGGCTTCTGATGGTTGAAAAGCCAAGATCGGGAGACGGTCTGCATTGTGAGGAGGCATCAGAGGCTCCAACCTCATGAAGCAGTAAAGCAGGCGTAGGACACCCCGAAGATCATGCCAGCTTTGCGATATCTATCCAAGTGTGACCCTCGTCAAGGAACATCGCCCGAAGTCAGAACTGCTCTTGAAGATTCAGCGTCGCATGCTCCAGAGCTTCTGGAGTCTCCTTAGGAATTACTGTTGATTTCCATTATGTTATACCCCTAAGGAATCATATAAAGATAACGTTTTTATATAGGTCTTACGGAGACTGCAGCCTTAGGTGCGACAAGGCAGATCTGCAGCTGCTGGCCAAGTGCTTCTCGGACATGAGCCCACAGCTCAGGAGATCAGCTTGGCAGCGTCTAGGTTTCCTGACCTTCAACTTGCAGGACCCTAAACCCTTAAAGGCCCTTAACCCTAAACCCCAGTTTCCATATGTCACTTTCCTTTTGCTTTTCCATTTGATTCTCCATGATTGGGTGATGATATCCCTAAACCCTAAACCCCAAGCCCAACTTCGGGTTCCTGGGCCCCACCATCGAAGTGCTGACGCCCACCCATATTTGCAATTGGTACGTGCGCTTGAGGCCCCCTGACGAAGCCGTAAGCGCACACGGCGCGGTCAGCGCGGCCGCTGAAGTGTGGCGTGACCTGCTCGACTGGGCCTCAGATAGGTGGTGGTCAAAATTATGGTCCCTTTTTGGGTACCCTAAATAGTAGGTGCCGTATTATAATAGGGACCCAAAAAGGGACCATAATTCTGACAACCACCCAGATGTATCGTGAAGCCGCTGAGGGCTGCTGGCACTTTGTCCGTGTCGTTGTGTCGGCACATGTGTGCGCTGCCGGTGTTTGGTATGTTTAGGCTGCACGAAAAAGTGTTGACATCAACTGTGCCTCTGCTCAGCTTGACGCTGGGATCAGAGCAAGTTCAGCTGTAGCCTTCAGTTCTTCCGGAGAAGCCAACCTCCTCATGCTGCTCGCAAAGTCCCAAAAGCATAGACACAGCAAGTGACACTACATGCGGAACTAAAGCCCAACCACAAATTACGCCGTCCTGAACTTTCAGCCTTTGACTGGGCTCAGGTCCATCTCTTGAGGCAGTGAATTTCGACGGCTGCTGCGCCACAGATGGGTAAACAGTAGGCTTCTCCAGACTTCTGCAAGATGCTTTTCTGCTGGCCTCGAAAAGTTGGCATCCCCTCCGCAAGGTCTCTTATAGGGAATTTTCTTCAGGTGTTTTTATGCCCCAATAATGGAGAATCAAATGGAGAATCAAATGGAAAAAGAAAATGGAACATGAAATGGAAACTAGGGTAATATACCTAATATATATTGGGGTTATGATGGGGTTATATTGGGATAATGGAAAAGAACATGGAAACTGCTATAGCATAATGGGTTATGTTGAACAGGAATCCCCATCTTTAGGAGGTGCATGTCGAGAATGTTCGAGCCAGGGGCTCGGACGCTACCCATTTGTGGAACTACAGTATTTAGTAGCTGACGTCAAAACGCCCACTCTAGATAGGAGATGGGGTAGTGTGTAGTGAGTTAATGCTTTTCGCCTCCTCTTGATATGTAGTTTCCCTAATTAAGGGGACCCCAATATAGATTCCAAAATACAATCATCCTTGCTTCGCAGCTCCACCTCACAAGCCTTGCACCGGAGAAATACGATCTGCACGTGCACCCCGCAACAGGCTCAGCATATGGGTTACCAAGGGGGATACTATGAGTTTAGACCATTGCTCATGTGCCAAAACCTTCTATGGCGAGTTCCTGCATATGCACCGCGCGCCACGAAGAGGTAAACTTCGAGCCTGGAGGCCCTGAAGCCTGACGCCTACCTACGCCCTAATCCGGTGAAGACCACGTCTTGCTTACGCTACCTGTACTTTTGAGAATCAGTTGATGTGCATGTTCTTGACAATTGTCTAGGAGCGGTGAAGAGAACACGAAAAGGCAGCATGGATTTCTTAGGGACAAACAGGGAAGTTGTCAGTCGCAAGAGCCGTGGTCCTGTCTAGAAATGGCTCGCTTCATCCTGGCTACTGACAGGTAAAGCCTCATCGTAGTTGCACTGACTGCAGCTTGGGTGCAGGTTCCTGCTTGTTTAGGGTTTTGAGCCGGAATGTTGGCGGAAGTAGTGCGCCGCAGGGATTGTGATGTTGTTGGTGGGATGAGACTTACGGGAGCTACCACTGTAACAAAAACAAGTAGCGAGCAAGGCTGATTCACGTCAGCCCTTTGGCTCAAGCAGTTTTCAAGCTGAGCCTAAGCATCGTGGCGCACCATGTCAAGTAATTACCCACCTGACTGATGTCATCTCAGTGTGTGGCCGTTTGAGTTTTCGACTTTATCATAAGCTGCTCGTAAGGAAAGGCACTGCAGATAGCCGCAGTCCTCCCAACAAGCCCGATTGTAAGCGCAGCATCGCGCAGCCATTCTCGGTGTCCTTTTCAAAGCTTCTGCGAGATGGTTACCAGTTTTCCGAGCCCGCCGCTTGCCAGAGAATTGAAACAGGGCCTGGTAGTAGGGAGAATTGTACCCAGGCAATACGAGCGGCAGGAATCAAAGTTGTTCTTGTCATTGCAGCGCACAGCCGCAATTCAAAGAACAGTGCTTAGAAGGTTTTGTCATGGGGATCTCTCAATCATAGCAATAATAGCAAGAATAGTAGTCATGATAAAAATAGCTGCCATGGGATAATGGAAAAGAGAATGGAAACTACTGTATAGTATACTGGGGTTATATAGGGATGCTAAACCCTAAACCTAGGGTATAGTATTCTGAACCGCATGTCGAGGCCATTAGGGCGTGGCGTGTTGGAGGTGCAGTGCTCCTTCTTCAATAGGCTGTGCACATGCAGGTGAGCTATAGTCTTAACTGCCTTACAGGGAGTTACATAGGGGATTCAAGAGGGGATTTCTATAGGGTTTTTACAGGGGGATACTAGGAGTTTAGACTGCAACCCCTACAATTCCCTATATATTCCCAGTGTTCATTTCATTTTTCTTTTCCATGCGATTCTGCACTATTGGGGGATAGTATCCTTAAGCCATAAATAATACTACAACCCCATATAACCCTACATCAGCTAGTCTAGCCCTAAACCCTAAATCCCTATACGAGGGCTTATTAACGGGGGTACCGGGGTACTAGGAGTTTAGACTATAGCTCAATTATTACCATTATTGCCACTATTGCTATTATAACAATTAATTGGAATTAGTACTAGTATAATTAGTATTATCACTACTATTATTAGCATTATTACTATGAGTTTTGCTGTGCGTATTCTTGGCGTAGACCTGAACCCAAAAGCGCGCTGCTGCAACAATGGCATGTGAGATACCTGCACGCGCAACATCTCACTGTTTCTGGGGCACAGGGGTTGTTCTTAAAATTGCGGGCCCCTTTTGGTCATAGGTTATAGTACGGCACCGAGTAAGTAGGGGTACAAAATGGGACCCTAATTTCGGGAGCTACCCACGTGCAGGTAGCGAACCGATGTGCCAGGATGTCACAGCATTTTTTACACGAAAGACTTACCTGCCCAGTGTGTATCCTTAAACTCTTCTGGGGGTAAGATTTACCTTAGGGAAAGCCCAAAACCTTCAACCATAAACAAAGCCTTCGGAACTGGACAACTAAGCAAAATTGCCTCGCAGGCCGAACCACAGAGTGGCTGCTGCAGCTAGGCGGCAGGGCTTTAGTTGCTGGGCTGTCTGGAGTTGACTGAAGTCAGACTCGAAGCTTAACATGCGCAGGACACCGCTTTGCAAGGAACACCGTAGAAGGCTGATAGACAAAAAACTGAAACCTGCAGAAGCGTCTTAGTGAGGCTCAGGCCTTAGTGAAATACGAGATGAGTACAGAGTAGTTTGCTATTGGTTCTCCAAATTGTTCAACGAGGCATCACATGCCGGCAGCCCTTGGGCTCAGACGTTCCTCAAACGCTCCTCCATTAGGTTCCCCCGCCTACAATGATTCGGCTCGCCACCGTGACTGCTCTAACATGCCAGGTTATCTTGGAGGTAAGCAGCTACAAAGTTGCCATGGAGCCCCACGAGCTATGCTATGATCAGAGCCCAGACTGTGAAAAGCTGAAAGCATTGTGGGGTTGTGCTGGCACTTGGCGCGAGAAGTGCCCGGGGATGAAGCCTCCCGAGGGTGAGGCCGCGGAGGACTCCCTGGACGTCACCGTGGCGACCATCTGCCCGGTTGACTGCCCGGACGGCAGCGGCGAGGCCGCAGTGGATCTGGCGGTCCAGGAGGAGATGGCCAAGGCCAACGGGACGAAGCAGATTGACGAGGGCGAAGTCGCAAAGGTGAACAAGACCCTCCAGTGCCTAGGGGAGAGGATGAAAGCAGCCCTTGACATGAAGGACCTCAGGGAGGCCAGGGAGCTCCTGGCTGTGATCCAAGGTGAGACCGCTGAGAAGATCAGGCCAATCAAGGACAATCAGACTGCCACGGCCGTGGACATGAAAGCCCGTGATGCAGCGGAGGACCTGGTGCAGCAGGAGTTCGCGAACGATGCAAAAGCACTCCAGAAGATCAAGCTGACACCGCAGGCTGTGGAGAACTTTGCCAAAGAGGTAGAAGCCTTGGCCACGATGTGCAATGATGCCGCCGAGGCCTCTGCAATTGGCAAGATGGAAGAAGCTGCATTAATGAGGATCAGCGAGCATGGCAAGCCGAAGAGCGTGGAGGCCGCGGCCACAGCTGAGGGCATTGCCGAATCGGTCAGGGAGAAATGCCACGCGAGGACCTTAAACTTGGACTTCTTTGTGGAGCATTCTTCGATGATGGCAGGGGCCCACTGCGGCAGTGTTTTCTTGCAAGAGCATCACATGAAGCAGGCGGCTGTGCACTTGAAGGAGCTGAACTTCAGGGCCAAGGCTGCCATGGCTCTGCACGATGACTCCAACCGACTGGGGCACCACATGGTCCGGCACCTCCAGCGGCACACCGAGCATTCAGGCGAGGACGAGCATCGCCCCTCCATGTTCCTGAACGAGACGCTGTTGCGACTGGTGCACGAAGCAGCTAAGGCGCCGCTCACTGACCACCAGCTCGAGCGACTGCACCATCTGGACAGCCTTCACTTCGCGGAGCTCCACCAGGACCGGGACCGGGATGAGCACTGCATGGAAAGGGAGGATATGGCGAAGCACCAGCCGGATCATTGGTCCCTGCACCACAAGGACATCAACGCATACATGGATCGCCTTTGTGTCCAGAAGAGGCCGTCCCTGGTATGCGAGGCCATCCACTACGAGAACATGACTGAGGTGGCAGAATGGGCCGTTCAGATGATGCAGGAGCCCTTTGATGAGCTCAATGCTGAAGGCCCCGAAGAGCCCCCGATCCAATGGCATAGTGGTATGAGCCAGATGACTTCCCAGCTGCAGACCTATGCGAACAGCAGCCAGGAATTGGGCTTTATCCCGATTGGACCTTGTGACGAGCCGCTGTCGTGCAATATTTGCACGAAGGGCATTTGCCTCTCTGTGCCGTTCCCCAAGGTGCTAGATGACGCCGACGCCCCGTTCACTCCCGGCGACCAGGGGAAGAACGTCCTGGGCGCGCTCAGGCAAGGGCTGGACTCTCCTGCGCAACCTTGCTTTAGCGTGGACTGCACAGCCTGCATCGGCCTCAAACCCAGCGATCCGTTGAAGTTTAACATGAATGTGGCCGTGTCAGGCGCGTGCAACGGCAAGTACGCATTCTTCAGCAGCTTTGTCATATCGATCGGCTTGGAGATTTGCATCTCTGGTGGCCCGTTGGAGCGCGTCCTCAAGTTTCTCCGAAGGGACTCGGTTTGCATCGCGTTCCCGAGCCTCGAGTACTACCCCTTCGTGGGCAAGATGGGCGTCACATGGTCTTGGCATCCAATTTGGCTGTTCAAAGCAGTGAAGTTCTCGCTTTCAGCTTATTGGCCCGTGCATGGCCTGGCACCTGCAGTGAAGCATCACTGCTGGTGGAACCCTGTGAAGCAGTGGACTTGGGCGGAGATTTCGTGGTCGCAACAGACCTTCTTCAACAATGCGGTATGGATGTGGAATCAGATGCACGGGAGGGGCGGCCATGAATACGCCTGTGTAGAGTTCAAGTACATGTACCCGGCGTGCCCCTGGGACATCAACAAGGCGCGCATGGCCTGCCGCGCCACCTTCTTGGAGGGCCGAAGGTCGGTCGTGGCCAGCGTGAGTACCCGTGCCAGGGACCTTTCGATGGTGGAGCGCTGGAAGAAGGAGTGGCGCTGAGCTCAATTGGAGCCAAGACTCGGGCGGCCTAGTCGATGCTCCTTATCACACTTGGTGGACGTTAAAAGTGTACTACTTAATACCATCGGAGGACCCTTGCATGGCTGTTGCCAGGTCAAGCCGGCATTTTCCTGCTTCAAATTAATCTCACTCGTTTGCTTCTTGGTGGGAGGGTTTCCAAAAACGATGAGTAGGCTCCTTGGGGAGTCCCTCAACGTGGGATTCCCCCCCCCGTTCCTGGGCCTTGGGGCCTGAGCCTGTGCTGCAGCGCTTGTATAGACAAAAGGATCACCTTGTTCTAGCTCTCAAGTAGGCCTGTTGTTGGACGCTGTCGGGAATCGGGAGGGTGCATACGGAAGCATCATTTGCATTAAGATCTGATATTTGGACACCAAGGCCTGCGCCCGGCCACCTCCTGCCGCAGATTGCACTACAAGGCGTGATGAAACAAGGACACCGGACATTGGCTTTACAACGAATACTTGAAGTCTTATCTAAAATGATATATAATATAAACGCGTCATTGTCAATCAATATTAAGACTATTTGAATAGGAGCAGTCAAATATTGATTGATTTGAGGGATGATCAAAATCTCCGATATCAGGTTCAGGAGGAACCCCGTCCTTAGATTTCAACACAATGTAAACCGATGAGAGGAAAAATGAACGATAACGTATGCATCTAGCGCAATTCTCGTCATGACCTGTGGCAAATTTCCTCATATGGCATGCCGTAGCTACAGCTACTGAAATGGGTAAGGTGCCTCGCAGTCCCAGCTATTCGCATGGCATGAACCCTTATCCTAAATCTAGGCTATTTGTAAGTGTTACTACAGTAAAATCTGGGCTGGAGAAGCTACCGGCATCTGAAAGATGGAATTATTTGCACGTCAAGGTTGCTTGAAGCAAATATAGGAAGGTTCCCAATCCGATTTTTTCGCATTAATATTATATCATAAATTCTAGATTCTAAATTGGGCTTGTATAATAATGCCCCTCATAAGATCAAGGGATTATTGTCGGGAGCTTAGAAACGAAAATAAGAAAAAATAATATTTACGCGGATTTTAGTATGAATAAATTTATTATAGCATAGGTCATCGGACGTATATATGCAAAGCATAAAATATATTCTCATAGAATCTTTTGGAATTTGCCGTAGAGCATTTGAAGCTAGCATAGCCTATAATAATTTCATATAATTCATTAGGATCTCTTTTAATTTGATATAATCTAGCATGATCTGATATATATACTAAAAATCATTTTAATCTATTGAAATCTTCTATATTAAATTATAATCGATGATTATATATTATAATAAAGAAAATATTCGTAATAACGATATTTGCAAGGCAACAAAGAATGGATAAATATGATTGTTGGAATGGTAATGAATTAAGAATTGAGGTCTCGAGCTGATAGGGTATCGGCGATATTGGAGGTGCAATCTGGCCAAGGGATACGAAATTTGGCGCTGAAAATATATTATATAATTCTAAAATCATATTTTCTTATATGATTCTAAAATCTTCGCAAAATTACGGCATGGGATTCTAAAGGTTAGATTGAGGCAGGGAAATATCGAAGAGCTTCTTTTTCGTATAGGAAATATGATCATCTTGATTTTGGTTATGATTAAAGAATATTAATTTCTCATTTGAAATGATAGCATCGTAATTCTTCTTACGATTTTAAAGATTTCCGCTTATCTTATGAGGTTCTTAATATCAGAGATATTTATGTCATCTATATGAAGTCGCTCTGAAGAGCCAAGATCTTTGCTTTTCATAAAGGCGATCCAAGGATCGGCGATAATTTGTCCGGATGGCTCCGTCTAAAATAATAATAAAACGATGATGATCAAAATAACGATGACGTTTATTTCAGGAGGATGGAATTGGGAGTAAGGATCTATGGCGGATTTTAGATATATCTATTCTTATTAAGAGGCTGCAATAGATATTCAGTCTTGAAAATTATATTAGAAGATATTGAAATCTCAATATTAGTAATATCAGTCATATTGTTGAATTTGATTAGTCGGGGAATATTTTCTTTTATATATACCATCGTCGAACTTGAGAATCGCTCTGATCTTTGGAATCTCATACGAAAATGAAAGATCTTTGGGATTCTATATAAATATCTATGATCTTGGAATCATCTAAGAAGCTATGATTTATAGACTCTTGAAAAGAAAATCGTATTTCATATGCCAAGATAGGATCTCGAGACTTGCATGAATTATTCTGATATTTAGATCATCTAGGATACTAGCGCCTGATAGAGAAATTACGGCTTTTGGAATTTCATAAGAAAATTCAAGATGATCATGCTAGATATACGGAAAAAAGATCTTCGAGATTTCGTGCCTCGGTCTATCCTTTGGAATCTGATATAGAAAAATCAAGATCTTTAGAATGCTATATCGTAATTATGAGAAGATTTTGGAATTATATGAGAAAATACGAATTTTGGATTCAGATGACAAGCTCTCAATACCATTCCGCTACGTTCGCATCATTTGAAAGAAATGAATTCCAAAATTTTTACATCTAAAATCCTTGATTCCCCATCGTCTCGAGACCTCAATTCCTGATTCATTGCCATTGCAGGAATGATATTCATTCTTTATTGGATCGCATATATCGTTATTGCGGCACGCATTGCCAGGAAAGATCAAATGAATATATCTCTAGTTATAGTAGATGACCGTCGTTTATAATAGATTATAGAAGATTATGATAGATTATAATAAATATTAATATATATATATCAGATTTTATGATTTATATTAGATAATAATATATGATGAATAATAGTCAGCAGCCTCTATTAGATAATGGCAATTTATAGTAGGTTAAAGAAGATTATGATAGATTATCATATATTATGATAGCTTATAGTATTTTTTAAATCCTTATGATAGATCAGAATAGATTTCAAAAAAATATTCAAAATTTCCGTAGATTATATGATAGAATATGATAGAATTTAATGGGATATATCAGAGATCTATAAAAGAAAATAATTCATAAATAGATCATCGTAATTTATATTGAATTTTGATTATATTAATTTTTCTATTGGAAAACCACAATATCCGTATATTTAATCAAAATACCAGAAAACGATAATAAGAAAAAAAGATTAAGCTATTTCGAGATGAATAAATGATCGAAAGATTTTTATATAATTCCAAATTATATATGACTAGAAATCGATATGAATAGAATCTCCAGATTTCTAACGATTCAAATAGGATAAGAAGATCTAATTTAGCTATTTATATAACGAAATCTCGTATAAGCCCAAATATTTAGATATTTCAAATCATTGCAATAAAATCGTTTCCGCATCTTGAATCCGGTTAGGCAAAACGCCGCACTTAATTCTATATCAAGATCTCATCTAAGGTATTTATCCTCATTATTTATAGGAGAAATATAGATAATAGGGATATTGGTATCAATATAAATTCTGGGGCAGAATATAAGTATTCCGGATCTTTAGAGCCGATGAATAGTCTCGATAATGATAAGTCAACGATAATAAAACGATTGGATATGATCTCATTTATAGATCTCGATTTTAAATTAATATTATAAAGTGATGGAATTATATTCTTTTATATTATTATCATAATTCATCCTATTTATTTTGAATTTCGATAAAAGATCGAAGATAATCTATATAATCTGAATACGTGAATGAGCTTCTCCCCAATTCCTGGAAATCAATATTTCAAAATGAAATTCATATCATAAATTAATGATTTTGTTTGATTCCAGAGATTTTCGATTCCAATATGAATACGAGATTCTGATCTATTCCCTATTCCCCAAATATGAATTAGATAGCATTCAAGAGAATAATAGATAATCGATTTGCCCATAAATCCATCCGTATTCTTCTTTGATTTCAAAGATCGCATTTATAATATTTTCTTTCAATATATGACGTATTATTCTCTCATAATATTTCAGATTAACGTCAATTATATATATATAGATATCTATTTGATGCTAAAATTGCAAGATTCCTCTTTTAAATAGATATTTCAAAATGATTAATGAGAAAGATATTGATTCTGAGAATGAATTATTATTATAATTTCATATTGCCAAATTTCAGAAGGATCTATCCTAGAAATCTATAGATAGAATCTGATCGGAGAGATAGAAATCGATAATATTGATATTTCTATTTAATATTCCTGAATACGAAGATTATTTATATATTCTTTTATATACCGTTCCTTTCTGGGATACCATATTATGAATTTCTTCAGATAAAATGATATATCATTGAATCTTAAATTCCGGATCAATCCTCTAAATTCCATTCTAGAAATAATTTTTATGGATTCCCTAGGGATTTTAAAATCTCGTATATAAGGAGATATATCCTTTAAATATAAAAGCTCGAAATTCAAGGGATAATAAATTTAATTATAAAAACGGAGATTTCGAAATAAGATAGAGAAAGATTCTATCTCTATAAATTTGGGCAATCAATATATCTATAATAATAGAGAATTTGAAATATGAAGAATAAAGAAATCATATATAAAAATAGAGAAATCGAAATATAAAGAATAACTATCTCAATCATAAAATCAGAGATTTTGAAATCTAAGAAAGAAATGATCTAATCATAAAAATGAGAATAAAGAATCCAATTAATAACATAGAGAATTCAAAAAATACGAATCAAATAATTTAGCCATAAAAACGGAGAATTCGAAATGAAAGGGATAAATAAATCAAATGGAGAATTTGAAATCTAAAGAATATGGGATCTATTCATAAAAGAGAATTTGAAATAAAGAAAATAAAGAATCTAATCATTAAAGAGAAGAATTCAAAAAATCAGAGAATATAATCGAATCATAAAAATAGATAAATCGATGAATTTTGGCTCCCGCAATCTTATCAAATATTTTTATTAAATTAGATTAGATCTTCAATTTATACCAATAGAATTCCATCGTTAG